GTTACCTTGGTGGCTGACTCGCTGATTGGATAGTTGAGTGATTTCAAGACTTGTAGCTGATTGGGTGGTAACCGTGGTGGCTGACTTTTGATTGGCTGCATAATTTAGATTGTAGGGTTACTGGAAGACTTGGTGATTTTACTAGAATTGCAAGGGGATTGGATTGACGGGTTTTGGCTGGCTTGCTTTTTTTAGCGTGACTGGCTGATATGATCATTTTTCAGGTCAAAACTCTGTCAATCTGTCAATCACAATCAATCCAGATGACGTTCCTGAACTCGACGAATCTTTTGTTGTCACACTAAGTAACGTTTCATCACGCAACAGACTGCAGGCGGGAATGGTAGGTGTATAGATATTCGCGTTGAATACTYTTACACAAAAAATAAAAATAAAGGATTAGTACACTTAACCAATTTCCTCCAGTTTTCCGTGGTATGTCCTGTTATGTAACACGATCTTCATCATGCCATCTAGCCGTCAAAATGTTGTGGACTCACGAGGCGTAGCCTGTTTTTTATTTTATTTTATTTTTTTACCACAGAAAATTATTAATTTTACTATTCTGTCCTCCTATTTCCCCGGCTCTAGACCAATCAGAAAGCGAGAAAATTCAGAACTGTGGTAAAAATAACATTTTTACATCCCCATACTACTTTGCACTTTGTACTATGGGGGGAGGGGWAGGGGACAACTGCTCAAAAACTATCAAAACATTATTTATGTGTATCAGCAAAATAGAGACCATAATAGCGACCAAAATAGCTATGGCAACGAGAAGGGTCTTGAAGTGATTGAAAAAAATAAGAAAAACAACATCAAATATTTTGATTATTTTCTTTTTAAGGAATCAGCTACAGTTACGATCCTCGAGAACGACAATCCTGGAGGAACATTCGAGATCCAGGACACATCGCCTTTAATTATTAAGGTATTATTAAGATTATTATGAAAAAAAAAATAATTTAAAGTTTTTTAGTAACAACGCTAAACTTGTATTTTCCAGCCGATAAAACAGAAGAACAAATTTTGCGAGCGACAGAGTCGCGGTTGACGTGGTCGAGGATGCATTTCGTTTCGCGCCAAAAATACTGACAACTTTGATTGGCTGGTTGTTATAATTTTTTCACC